TAGAGCGGTGGGCCAGTGGGAGGGGCCCATACGGATGGGCAGTAGAGCGGTGGACCAGTGGGAGGGGCCCACACGGATGGGCAGTGGAGCGGTGGACCAGTGGGAGGGGCCCACACAGATGGGCAGTAGAGTGGTGGACCAGTGGGAGGAGCCCATACGGATGGGCAGTAGAGTGGTGGACCAGTGGGAGGGGCCCATACGGATGGGCAGTAGAGTGGTGGACCAGTGGGAGGGGCCCATACGGATGGGCAGTAGAGCGGTGGACCAGTGGGAGGGGCCCATACGGATGGGCAGTAGAGCGGTGGACCAGTGGGAGGGGCCCACACGGATGGGCAGTAGAGTGGTGGACCAGTGGGAGGAGCCCATACGGATGGGCAGTAGAATGGTGGACCAGTGGGAGGAGCCCATACGGAAGGGCAGTAGAATGGTGGACCAGTGGGAGGAGCCCACACGGATGGGCAGGAGAGCGGTGGACCAGTGGGAGGGGCCCAGTGGAGAGTAAGATCACTAGTCTGCAGTAGGACAAAACTACCTCACTATGTGATTTTCCCTGTTTGTTCTCAGCATTCAAAGAGCAAACGCATAAAACATAGATGGTTGGAATGATCCAACAGAGGATAGATTACACAAGCAGAATGGTGCAGAAACGAGGTGGCAGGGAGTGAGGTGCCCAGCGAGAGAACAGTTGAGTCCAGCAAGGAAATGAGCCATGTGTGTGGGTGTGACGGTATCCGAGAAAGAGGAAGACCAAGTGACTGAAGGACGCAAAATTAAAGAACAGGAGTAGTAATGAGAAAAGCTCAGAGCTACGCAAGTATGAAGTGGTGGCCAGAGGTTAATTTCTATTTAACAAACATTTATATACAGCACTTATTTGCCAGATACTGTTCCAAGTGCTTACAAATATCACCTCACTTAATTCCACATGTCAGTCTGAGGTAGGTATGTGTGTTATTTCCACCTTACAGATGAGAAAATGGTTCCATAGAGGTTGACTAAACGGCAGCACTGGGATCTGAACCCATCTTCCTGTGCTCAAAGACCCTAGAGTTTGTAAAATCGGTGGCAGAACTGTTCTGGGGGATCACAGGTGTGAGATTCTACAGAGATGGGAAGGTTGTCTACCTAAGAACGTCTATTTCATCTTTTAGAGACTGAGCGTCATCTGCCAAAGTGGTCAGTTCATCGTTCTGCTGCCGAAGTTCAGACATCTCCTTTTGTAACTCTTCACAGCGTATTCGATAGTCATCTTTGGCTGCTTCAAGTCTGTGACCGAAACAAAATAGACCAAGAAAGCACTATTTACTGTCTAATAATTCTCCTTAGAACAGGAAAAGTAAGTAAAAAACATGAAAATAAATTCTTCTTGGATTTGTCTCCTACTTTTGTGACCATACACTGTATTTCCAAGTTTTAACTATCCTGGAAACGGATTCTACTGCTCCAAGACTTGCAGAAAGGTAACAACGGATCGCCATTCCTCTACTCAGAAAGTTAGACGCCAAAATATAGCAGCTATAATTTATTTAAAGTTTTATTTTCAATGATGAAATTAACACATATTCCTTTTGAAAATTCACAAGATGCAGAAAAGCAAAGAAGATAAAAATTATGCATTGCTCTAGACAGATACCTACTGTTAACATTTTTGGAGTATAACCTCCAGTCTGATTTCTATTCATAGATCTTTTCCCCCCAAAATATGGATATTGTTCCTAATTTATATTAATTTGTTTTGTTTAACATACATCCTTCCTTTAGGTTTAAAAGATTCTTTCTCATGTCACAAATATTTATCATTGATTATTTACTTTTTTTTGTTTGTTTTTTTTGCGGTACGCGGGCCTCTCATTGTTGTGGCCTCTCCCGTTGCGGAGCACAGGCTCCGGACACGCAGGCTCAGCGGCCATGGCTCATGGGCCCAGCCGCTCCACGGCATGTGGGATCTTCCCGGAC